GGGGGGGGGCCCTGACGCTCCTCCCCCTCCCCTTCCAGGGATGTATTTTATCTGGCAGCAGGGAGCCTGCTCCAGCCACCCCCGCTTACTCCTGAGCCCAGCCCCAGCCTTGTAGGGACGTTGCACAGCAAGACAGAGGTGCTGGGGCTAAGGGTGCTGCAGCCCCGACTTGAAGAATTTTCCATCATATCAGGGCTTGCAATGGTTCAGTGGCTATCAGGTCCCCTAGGCAGAGGTCAGCCCCTCCTTGCTGCAGGGGGAGCAGGCGCTGAGAGGGGAAGTGACTTGGTAAAGGTGATTGTCCAGCTCCCTGCCTAACTCAGTGGTTCTCAATCAGGGGGTATGTAGAGGTCTTCCAGGAGATGCATCAACTCATCTAGAGACTTGGCTAGTTTTACAACAGGCTACATTCCTGCACAGCCCATAGCAAATGAAATTTCAGACAATGATTTGTTGAAACTGTTTGATATACCTCATCCTGAAATGTAAGTGCAATAGTTTCAATTGATTTACTTTATACTGTAGACATTGAAAGGTAAGCCATGTTTCAGTGGTAGTGTGCTGTAACACTTCTGTATTTCTATCTCTGATTGTATAAGCAAGTCATTTTTAAGTGACATGCAACTTCAGGGTACTCAAGACAAATCAGCTTCCTAAAGGGGGATAAAGGTTTAGTCTGGAAAGGTTGTGATCCACTGTCTATCATACAAGTTTGTAGCGCACTTGTGAAGTTCAATTAAAAGTCCACGTACATTGCAAAGCAAAAATAGGCCGCTGTAGTTTACGTTGCAGTGGATATATATCCATGTCTATGTAGCACCAATGAAGGAATCCCCTTTTGGGTTTAACTTAGTAACCACTGAAAACCACAGCTCCCACTAATTTCAACAACAATAAATAAACTCTTTTGTCTGTCTTTCGCCCTAGCCCCAATGCTTAATTCTACAGAAACACTGCAACTACAACCAAACAATATAAAAATGAATAAAATAGTTTAAAATGATGGTTTGTTGGAATCTGGCCATTATGTTTTATCTTCTTCAGGAGATTACAGGCCTGTGGATAATGGGTATAGAAGTCAGCACACTTCTGTGTAAAAGTTTCAAATTGCTGGCTACTCCCAAATATTTAATCTAGTTGTGGAATTTTTGTTTTTTATGTTTAGTATTACACTGTTATTGCCATCACTATATTGAAAAAAAATATGTTAACAGTCATTCACTCTTTAGAAATTGTCTGATTTCAAAGCAGAATTGGCACCACTGAAGAAGAAAAGTCCATTGTCCTGGTCCTGCAAGCATTATGAAAAATAGTTATTATTGCCACAGAGTCCTATTGATTTCAGTAGTAAGCAACCTCCCTTCATGCTATTTTCAGCATAAGTCCCTAATATATTCGTTTTCTATCAAAAAGCCTCCTCCTGTTTAAAAGTGTTTCCTTTTGGGGTAGTCTCCCTCAAATAAATAATGTGATGCTGTGAATTATACAATCTTGCCCTTTCACAGAATCAGGCTTTTTAAAATGGCACATGGCAGCAGTGAAAGGACTCTCCATCTATGCACTGAAAAATTAAAAGACATGTTATGCTTAAATAAAGAAAAACCGACATAGCTAAAGTTTTCTTTATATCCCCTGACATTGAGGGAAAATCCAGATTAAAATTTTGGCTGAGAATTTACACATGCATGCAGTTCGTGGCTTTTCAAACTCAAAATCAACTCTGAAAGTTAAAAAATACAAAATATAAACACAAGAATACAATCAAGCTGCATTGAAAAGTGGTGCCTCAGTTATTTCAGAGTGCTATTTTCTTAAATGAGAAAAAATTATTTAGGGATATTAATGTTTAAGTTAAGGATTCACTCAGATAACAACCATAGTATTCATTTAGGATTTCACAGCAAGAACATTGATTATAAAAGTCCTAGAACTAGACCCTTGTCCTTGCCCTAAGCAGCTGCTTTTTCTAATGTTGAAGTGCAGCAAAGAAGGGGTGATGATTATTTTTCCCACAACAAACATAGTTATGTTGTGCTCAGAGATCATGCAAAATAATAGAAACTTACAACCAGTTCACCTATAAAATTGAACAGAACCAGAGCTCTTTGCTTCCTAAAACAAATTATATTTTTGTAATACTGTAATATAAGTTATTTTTTTAAATGACCACACCATGATACCCCTTGCAATCAGTTATTTTGCCTTTGTCATTTATTAAAACATAATGTAGAATAAAAAATGGGCATAATAAGAGCCCTAATACAACAGACAATTAGCTTAGTGAAACATCATCTCATGCTCTTGAATGGTTTAGTGGATTAGTAACATTTGAGCAAAGCTACTCTAAATACTACACACATTATCTCCCTTAATGCAAAGCACCAGAGTCACATCATAATGAAAAGTAAACACAACAAATGACAGTCTTTGGCCAATAATCTCCCTCCACATTTCATGGTCTTCACATAGCCTTGAGAAGAGTGCCATATGGCATCCCATCTAATTAGCCACAACATCATTGAACCATCTTAGCCATGAGCACCTCCCTGAAGTTGGCACCAATCTCTACAAACTTGCTTCAGGAGTCTTGCTCAGCTCAGCTCTCCCAAATGTCTTGCAAACTCAAATTTTCTTTGATCATCTTGATAATATCAGGTATCATTCCAGTCCTGCTGTAAATTTGGGCAAGTACCTCCTCATTAATCAGGTATAAGGGATAACTAATGTGCAGCAATTGCTTGTGTCTTTTCAATTTAAGAGACTTCCTGCCTTCAGTGCCCTGTTTCCTAAGGCAATGTCTACACCAGAGCTTACAGTGGCACAGATGCGCTGAGGCAGCTGTGCTGTTGCAAGGTCTCTCATGTAGCTGCTCTGTTTCAATGGGATACAGCTCTTCTGTAGAGATAACTAACACTCCCTGCCCCCCGCCAGTAAGCAATGGTAGGTATATTGGCAGGAGACACTCTCCTGCTGACATAGCACTGTCCACACCAGCAATTCTGTTGATGTAACTTATGTTGCTCCAATTGTGGTGTTTTCACAACCCTGAGCAACATAAGTTACCAACAAAAGGAGTAATGTAGACAGCCTAAGCATCAATTTCTCACAAGCATGTAGCAAGATGCTGAGGACAAGATACTGCAGCAATTTAATTTTACACTTCATGGTAATTCCTTTGCTTCTCCAAATGTGGCTGAGTGTTGCTAGAGCAACAATTGTGATTCCAGCTTCATGTCAGATTTCTAAGTGATGTTTACCATCCCTTCTAGTCATACTACCTACGTGTTTGAAGTGCTCAATGCTCTTCAAATAGAAGTTGCAGATTTGGATAGGAATATCTTTGCCTTTTCAGTGGACTTAGATTTCACCATTGTCCTTGTTTGGTTTTGTGTGTGTGTGTATGTAATATCTTTTGACCTTACTCTTTTTAGCCGTTTTTGCACCTTTTCTTGCAATGATCCCATCAGCTGAATACCATCAGTGAAGCACAGATGACTAATTTTTCATCCACAGAGGGGTTTTCTTAAAACTTCTTGAAGATGTCTGTAATATCATGCAACCCCTCGGACACTAATCAAACCAACTACTTTGCTCATGCCCCACAAATACTGAAGCCATTGCATTTTCATAGAGATATTGTATCCACCTTATTATTTTTTCACCGACTTCACTGAAACATAAGATTGCCTGAAGTGGTTGTGTTCTATGCTGTCAAATGCCCTAGCAAAATTCACAGAGGTATGGACCACCTTGCCAACATTCTCCATCACTTTCACATATAGCACAGACAGGCTAAACATTTGCTCCAGGTCCAAACCCAGCTTGTTTTTCAGTGAGAAAATTATTGGGTGCAACTCTCTTCAGGATCATGTGCAATAATATTTTGCTCAGGTGTGTCAATAATAATTGGGTCCCCCTTTTTAGGAATAGAAAACATCAGTGATTGTGTCCAAATTTGGGGCCATCCTTCAGACTCCCAAATCACATTGACAAGCTTATGGTATGCCCAGATGAGTGCCTCTCTACCACTTTGCTTGTATGTTATCCACTGTAGAGACCTTATTGTTTTTCAAAGTCCACACCACATCTTCTACTTTTGTAGATAGTAGGGGAAAAGTTCATCAGGAAAATCAAGCTTTTCAGGCAGATCCACTCTGCTTCTTTCATTTCCAACTTAGAGTTTGTTTTGCTCATATTATACAGTTATTGGTGACACCTACCTAAGTGTTGAGTGAAATGGTATTTTTCCTGTGAGGGAACCCTTTCAAGGAATTTTGATGATTTGTTAAGCTTTCCTAGTAGCATTTACTGCAAAGAATTGTGTATATAAATGTACTGTTGTTCAAGCCAATTTTCTTTTGCCACTTTAATCAGTGCATCTATTCCTCATGTCATGGGAATATTGCTGTCTTGCAGTTTCATCCATCTTCTTTTGTTCTCTCTTAGCTTCCTTAATTGATTGCACAACTTGATAATATTCTCCATTTGTGGCTCTGTTTGGAGTGGCTCACAAGCAACAATACAAATGCAAGGCAGACTGTTAAGAAGCAGGCACAAACCCCTAACTTGTTGTGTGTTCTATACATAGATTTCCCCCCAGCTAAGTAGCAAGTATAAACTCCTCAGGCACAATACAGTGGTCAAGCTGCCTTTGTTAGAAATCTCAGCCCAGAGATGAAAGGCAGGAATGAGGCACAGAGATGATGTCACAGTCTCTAATTTATACTCCCAGTCGAGGTGCCTGGAAAAATACTGGCTAAATATGGAGTCATAAATCACATGTTCTAATGCTTTGCTGAGTCATGAGGCATCCATTGTCTCTGTGCTCTCTAAGATGTGGGTTTTCAAAGTTGGGTCCCAGACCCATCCGAGTAAGCCAGAGGCAGGAGCAAGATGCTTTATTTATCTAAGTGTCCATAGCCATGGAACCTCTCAGTTCTCATTGGCTGCGGTTCACCATTTCCAGTCAAGGGGAGCTGCAGATGAATGGTCACTCCATGCCAGAGGTGGGGAACATTTGGCCTGTAGGCTGGATCTAGCCCCTGGCTTTTCTCAATCTGGCCTCTGGCGAGGCACAGGGCTTCCCTTCCCCCTGCACCAGGGTAAACCAGCATTAGCACTCCAGCCCCACTGCAGTTCTCCCTGCCTTGGCATCCCCCCTGCAAAGCTGGAGCACAAGCACTGGGCATTGCCACTAGCCAGATCAAGGAAAACCAGAGGATGGGTCTGCACAAGGGAGCCCAGCATTCTGAGTGTGTCTGTGTCTTTTTATTCCCAGGGGCCAGGCCAGTGAGGTTTGTTTCTTTTTGTTTCTTGGAGGCCAGGCCAATGAGGGGGTTTTGTTTGTTTGTTTCTTGGGGGGCAGACCAGTGAGGTTTTTTTCTTTTATTGCCACTAGCCAGATCAAGGAAAACCAGAGGATGGGTCTGCACAAGGGAGCCCAGCATTCTGAGTGTGTCTGTGTCTTTTTATTCCCAGGGGCCAGGCCAGTGAGGTTTGTTTCTTTTTGTTTCTTGGAGGCCAGGCCAATGAGGGGGTTTTGTTTGTTTGTTTCTTGGGGGGCAGACCAGTGAGGTTTTTTTCTTTTTGTGCTTTTGGTTTGTTTGTGGTTTTGGTTTGGTTTGATTTGGTTTCTCTAGGGCCAGGCCATTGATGGTTGTTGGGTTTTTGTTTTGCTTCTCACTGGTGTGTGTCCCCCAATTATTTTTCTTTGGGTCAGTGCCCCCCCCCCAGCTAAAAAAAGGTTTCCCCACCATCCAGGCTCTACACCAAATATCAGAAAGATCACTCCGTCAATTTCCACCTTAGATCTCAGATAAAAAACAACAAATGTAGCCATGAAGAAGAAAAATAAATGAGCATTATTTACAAAGTTAAAACAGGTAAATGCTACACAAATAATCTGCAGTCTGATGTTTCAGATGACAACAGAGTTGCTGAAAGAAGTCATCTCTGTAAGTCCTTTAGGTTAATTTTAGTGATCTCTTGCTTATGCTTAGGAATCTTTGCTCCTTAGAGCACAAAAAGCACAAAAAGCCTTTAATTCCTTCTGGTCGGATATTTTTATCCCCATCTGTTTAGCATCCACGCTGATGGGATACGTGATTCTGCACATTCCTCTCTTTGTGGGTGTGCCAGGAGTAACCAACAAAATCCTTGGGATTTTTTTGATGGCTTGCAATGGCCCATTTGGATGCAATAGGTGTGCCTGATGGACAGGAAATAACCTCCCTCATGGAGGAGAACCAGTATTTCACACTTGGCGATGTTTCTTTCCTGACTGGATTTACAGTTTCAAAACAAACATGTTTACAGTTACAAAACAGACACTTACGTATTATCTTATTGCATGGGCTACAGATACTGTGAGTTTAATGCTTGCAGCAATTCACAAGCACTTCATAAAGTTTAAACATTGCACATATTGCTATAAGTCTAATACATATTTTATCTATAACTATACACACAAGTTAACCAGACTGGTTTCAACTAAGCATCTGTCAGTGTTCAGTGAGGCCCAGGGCCTTTGCATGACCTATCATCTGGTCTGCCAATGTCATAATGAGATCCAAGATTTTATCTTTAGGTAAACCTTTACCTTTATCTGTTTCCCTGTTCATCCACAGCCTCCATGATGCATCAGAAGTTGTTGTAGTCTATCTGATCTGTGCTATTTGACCTCATTAGGAATGTGTTGGAAGTTTATAGGGAGGTGGTTTAGGAAGGGGAAAAAAAGTCAGAGGAAAAAAAGGAACTCATAGGACAGGAGAAGGAGGAAGAATCCTAAACAAACATTGCATTCTCTTACATCAAAGCTTCCCTCCCTTTTAATTATCAGTGGTCCTACCTCCCCATCAAAATAGAACTCTTAGTCCACCTTGGGGAAATGACTAGGTAGATTTCTGCAGTGGAGCTGCATGATGGGGTAGACTATGTTCAGAGGTTCCCTGCTGGAGACCTCATAACCCTGCCCTGCCCCAGAAAAGGGCAGTAGAGCAATCCTCCAAATGGCCTAAAGTAGTTGCATGGGAAGCAGTCAATCAAAGAAGCATCAAGGAAGACCCAGTTGCATTAGAAGATCTGCAGGGCTGGTGTGAGATTATCAGTTCCTTGCTTGAGCTGGAGAAGTGTGGATTAGAGATGTAATAGTATAGTCGATTAACCGGTTAACAAAAGCTTATAGGCTAATGCTATAGACTACACACATTTTCCCCCCACCTCTTGCCAGTACATTTTTAGTAGGCTGGCCAGCAGCCCAGGTCAGTCCTGGCTTGCACTGAGTCCTGGACCTACCCCTGCTATGTCTCTGCATTTAAAGTATATTAGGAGCCAGGTGGGTTGGCAGCCTGGCTCAGTTCCGGTTCGTGCTGGGTCTGGGAGCTCAGACCTCTCCCCTCCCCCCCCGGCAGGTGCTGCTCAGGGACTATAGAATAGTCAACTAACCAATAAGAATTCATGAGGTTAATCGACTATTCAATTAACGGATATTTAAAATCCCCAGTGTGGATGTTGTGTGGCAGGCTGACGGAGCTGCAGGACCTTGGACAGGGCAGTGCTGTCAGAAGCTGGGGAGAGTGAAAGTTCTGGGCTGCTTGCTGGGACTCTCATCAGGACAAGGACCTGAGGTAAGGATAAAGACAGTGTGGAGCCATGAGGAAGTGTCCCAGAGAATTAGAGCAGTGATGAGGCTTAGACAAAAGGACATGACGGATGGCTGATATCTATAGGGTCCCTGAGCCAGGACCTGGAGTAGAGAGTAGACCTAGCCCCGCTTCTCCATTACACACTGGGGCTATGTCTACACTGGTGCTTCTTGTGCAAAAACAGCCAGTCTTGCACAAAAACTTGCCACCCATCTACACAGCATGCGTGTTCTTGCGCAAGTAAATCTACAGTACAGCGTCTGAAATCAGGGCTTCTTGCACAAGGGTTTTGATGCCTCTTTGATGCAAGAGGCCAGTGTAGACAGGCAGCCAAGAGTTTTTGCACAAGAACCAGCCTCCTAGGAAAAAAGCCTAGTGGCCGCTTGGATGCGCTGTACCCGCAGTCGCAGCACCAGACTTCCTGGTTACCAGAGCTCCCTTAAAGGCACACGCAGCCTGCAGAGGCCACACGGCAGCAGCTCCTCTGCCACCCAGCTCTCCCGCATGGCTCTGCCCTGCTGCAGCCACAAGCCTCGAGAATGTCTGCTCCTGGGGGGCACCAGCAACCTGCACCTTCCTCCCAGCAGCCATCCCAGGGTTCGCAGGAGGTCCTGAGGGGCACCAATAGGCATGCCCCATCCTGGTCCCCAGCCGAGGTGAAGGCCCTGCTTGACCTGTGGGCCAATGAGGAAGCCCTCCATGACCCCTGTGCCCGTTGGCGGAATGCTGACACCTTCCGCTGCATGGCCCAGGCGCTCTCCCACCAGGGACATCCAGCCTGACCCTTGAACAGGTCCGGGCAAAAGTGAAGGAGCTGCGCCTGGGCTATGTCTGGGCCACCGAGGGGCAGGGGGCAGAAGCCAACATCTGCCCCCACTATGATCGTCTCCACGCCATCTTGGGGAGACAGCAACAGAAGGCCCCTCAGTGCCCATGGACACCAGCATGCGCCCCTCCGTCACCAGGCCAGTCGAGGCAGGGGAGGAGGCTGAGCTGCCCACTGGATCCAGGTTGGAGGAGGACGAGGATGACCAGGGCAGCACCGTCACCCTCCACATTGAGACGGTGCCGAGCAGTCAGGACATCTCCCGGGCTTCGTCAGAGGCCAGGGAAGGATCCTCTGGTGAGTGTTGCGCTTTTCACTCACAAGGGCAGGGGGAGCTGGGACCCAGGAACTAGGGGGAGGGAGTGTCACTCAGGCAGTTCAAGCTGCACACTGTGTACCAATATGCAGCACATGCAACCTCGTACAGTCTGACTGTGCGACATGTGGATGCGGCAGGCAGCTGCAGGACCTGCCTGGGACCATACTGCTCACACACGTCCGGACTGGGGAGGAAGGGGGTGCCGGCTGGAAGCAGCCAAGGCCTCAAAAGCTCAGGCCAGACCCCACACCTCCCGAAGGGTGCCGCACACAGACAGCATGCAGCCATGCCTAGCCGTGTGACACAGTAGCTGCTCCTGGGAAAAATGCAGCAAGCCAGTCCTGTGAGCACGGCCCCCACTGAGCCCCTCGCCTGCTCCGGCCCCTAGGCTGGCCCCCGAGGGAAGCCCCTCACTGCGGCCACGCACTTCCCTGGGCTTCTTGTCTAAGGGCTAGCGGGAAGGGGAGCAGGGAAGTCCTCTCGAAGGGTGCCGCACACAGACAGCATGCAGCCATGCCTGGCCGTGTGACACAGTAGCTGCTCCTGGGAAAAATGCAGCAAGCCAGTCCTGTGAGCACGGCCCCCACTGAGCCCCTCGCCTGCTCCGGCCCCTAGGCTGGCCCCCGAGGGAAGCCCCTCACTGCGGCCACGCACTTCCCTGGGCTTCTTGTCTAAGGGCTAGCGGGAAGGGGAGCAGGGAAGTGATCAGCCTGGCCCTAGGGCCACTTGAGTTTTGCTGCAAGGACAGTACACTCCCCTGGCTCTGTATCTGAGGACATCACTTGACAGGGGTCAGAGAGCCCAGACCTTGTCTTCCATACTTGCTCTCATACAATGTAGGGATTTATCTTGCTCCTCTTCAAACTCTGTGAATAGTCCTAAGCCTTCATAGCCTCCTGGCAAGGAGTTCCACAGGTTAACACAACATATGCCAAAGGGCCAGGACACAGACAAGGGGTTACAATCCATAGAGGATCACTTTACTCCAGGGGGAGTCCTGTGGTGGGGGGACCAAGTGGGCCCAAGCCACAGTACTGCGGTGTCACCTGGGCTCAGGGCGGAAGGCATAGGGCACAGGGACAGTGAGGGCAGGGCTGCCTGACCGAGACATCATTTCCTTTGTTTTTTGCAGCAGGACCATCCAGGAGCGAGGGACCCTCCAGCTCTGCAGCAACAGCAGCACCCCCAATGGTCCAGGCACCAGCCTGACAAGTCAGGCAGCGGGACCAACTGCTCCGGTGCCATGCCCAGGCCATCGAACACATTGAGGCAGCGATCACGCGCAAGATCAACGCTGACCTGGAGTGGCACCAGCAGGCATGGGGGCAATTCTTGCACCGGTGTGACCGCATGTGCGATGCGATCACCATTCTGACATCGCACATCGGTCACACATTGCCTGATGCACCTGCCCTCCCTGCCATGCCTATGCCCTTGCCCCCTCCAGCCGCTCCTTCATCCTCCCCTCCTGCTTCCCCTCCAGCTGCCCCTCCAGCTGCCACCATGCCCCCACTTGCTGCACCCCGTCCTGCCCACCTCCCCATGCTACCTGCCCCAATGCGGTCCCCCCTCCTGCCCTCCCTGCCATGCCTATGCCCTTCCCCCCTCCAGCTGCTCCTTCATCCTCCCCTCCTGCTTCCCCTCCAGCTGCCCCTCCAGCTGCCACCATGCCCCCACTTGCTGCACCCCGTCCTGCCCACCTCCCCATGCTACCTGCCCCAATGCGGTCTGAAGGCCATCCAGGCCTCCGCCCCCACAGAGGCACTGGCAGGAGCGGCCCCTCCCACCAGTAGCTCTCCCTCCCATTTCAGAGCCCCCTCCCTCCCTCCTCTTCCCAGTTCAGAGACACCTCCCCCTCCAAGATCACAGCCCCCTCCCACTGGCCACCCTTCTTCCGAATTGTAAATAAAAATAAAAGTTTAATGCTTAAAAAAATGGTTGTTTATTGGGAGGTGAGGGGAGTGGGGGAGGGAAGGGTTGGGGGTGGGAGGGAGATGTAAATGGGAGACAGAAGTGACCCTACTGTGGGGCTTGGGAGAACAGCTCCTTCAGGGCCTCCCAGATGCACACCCCATCATGGTGCACCTGGCGGATGGCAGCTGTGTGGAGCTGTTCGAATGCCTGGCCCTCGGCTGCCATCCACGCCGGGAGGAAGGCCTCCCCCTTCTGCTCCATGATGTTGTGGAGCAGACAACACACGGCCACTACTTCTGGTATGTTCTGCTCATCCATCTCGAGACGGGTGAGCAGACAACGAAGGCGTGCCTACAGAAGTGACCCTACTGTGGGGCTTGGGAGAACAGCTCCTTCAGGGCCTCCCAGATGCACACCCCATCATGGTGCACCTGGCGGATGGCAGCTGTGTGGAGCTGTTCGAATGCCTGGCCCTCGGCTGCCATCCACGCCGGGAGGAAGGCCTCCCCCTTCTGCTCCATGATGTTGTGGAGCAGACAACACACGGCCACTACTTCTGGTATGTTCTGCTCATCCATCTCGAGACGGGTGAGCAGACAACGAAGGCGTGCCTTTCAGCCGGCCAAAGGCACACTCGACCTGGTTGCAAGCCCGGTTGAGGTGATCGTTGAAACGTGCCCAGTTGGGGTGTGTCCGTCCTGTGTACGGCCGCATCAACCAGGGCATCAGGGGGTAGGCCGCATCCTCCACAATACAGATTGGCATGGGCACGTCCCCAACAGTAAAGTCCCGCTGGGGGAAGAAAGTGCCCGCCTCCAGTCTGCGAAACAGGCTGGAGTTTCTTAGGATGCGGGCATCATGTGCCCTGCCAGACCACCCTGTATAAATGTCAGTTAAGTGGCCATGGTGGTCCACGAGGGCCTGGAGCACGATGGAGAAGTACCCCTTGCAATTGATAAACTGGGCTGCTCGATACTCTGGGGCATGGACGGGGATGTGGGTCGCATCCAGGGCTCCCCACAGTTTGGGAACCCCAGGGCAGTGAAGCCAGCCACCATTGCGTCCACGTCCCAAAGGTGGATGACTCGCCGGAGCAGGATGTCATCGGACAACCTGCAGAAGGGCGCACAGAAACACAGGGAATGCACCGAATGAGGCAGCGTAAATGCATGATCCCTTGGGGGATCCCTGCCCCCCCGTGATGCCCTCTGATGCCCTCTGTCCCCAAACACACCAGGGCCCCCTCACCCCTGAGCCCTCCCACACCCCGCCAGCATGCCTCTGTGAGGAAGGGATGGCCCAAACTCCTGGGTGACGGGGCTTCCCCCACTCTCCCCACTCCCCAGCCACGAGTCTTCCCTTCCCCTGGGCAGGGAGTGCAGCATTCCCCAAGACTTACCTGCATCACAATGGCACAGACGGTGGACCTGCCCACCCCAAACTGGTGTGCCACCGAGCGGTAGCTGTCCGGGGTGGCCAACTTCCAGAGGGTGATTGCGACCTTCTTGTTGACCGGGATGGGGGCCCGCAGCCGGGTGGTATGTCTCTAGAGCACAGGGGCGAGCTAGGCACACAGCTCCAGGAATGTCTGCTTTCGCATCCTGAAGTTCTGGAGCCATTGCTGGTCATCCCATTGCTCCAGGACCAGCTGGTCCCACCAGTCGGTACTGGTGTCCAGTCTCCATAAATGCCTCTCAATGATCAGGTGGGGATGCCCCAGGGATGCCATCGCATCCATGAAGAGGGAGTCCAGTTCGAGCTCGGTCTTGAGGTCCTGAAGGAGTAGCACAGCAGCATGGAGCAGCAGCTGCAGGCACTCCAAAATGGCCGTATGGGGCCAGAGCAGGCACAGGGACACCCCTGGCTCCATGGCACAACAGTAATAAGGCCAAAGTCCCCAAAGTCACTAGGGCAGAAGCTGTGGTGTCCAAAGAGGCTGAGGGCAACCACAACTAAAACTGCTACAGCTGTCAGTCCCTGCAAGAGGTCCCACAGCACGGAGCAGGAGAGAAACGGCTGTCCAGGAAGATCCCTTTAAGCACGTGTCTCAAAGGAGTTCCAGCTCCCGCCCCTGGAAAGTCCTGGTGCCCTTTTGCCCTCTGCCAAGTAGTTCCAGACTGCAGCTTTTGCGCAAGAGCGTCCCACCAGTGTGGACGCACTTTATTGTGCAAAAGCGCATGGCTCTGACAATGCACCATGACCAATGTAGATGCTCTCTTGCGCAAGTACTTTTGCGCAAAAACTCTTGTGCAAAACAGTACTTGCGCAAGAACGTGCCAGTGTAGACGTAGCCTGGGGTAAATGGCCTGGAGATTGAGGCATCGCATCAAGGGAACTGAACCCTATAGTGGCCTAACAGGAGAGCTGGGCCTTAAATATGCAGAGAGAGCAAGGATGAAAGCCCTAGAATAAGGCCTGATACTAGAGATAGATTATGGGGCTAATTAAGGAGGGCTACAGAGAATGAATAGGAAGTCCCCCACATACTTGACCAAGAGTTGCTCACTTGAAACTAAGAAATATTTTTGAAATGATGCATTTCTCACCGACACAGGGACTTTCCCATTGCTTCCTTTCCCCAATGACAGCTCTGCAATTTCTT